AGAGAGAGAGAGAGAGAGAGAGAGAGAGAGTAATTTTCCAAAGAGCGGCGATCCGTTTCAAACTCAAACTCCTCTAACGAACTTTACGTTTGCTCCAGATTTCTATTTCCAAGATGTCAGATGTTTTCTTTTCCTTAACAATCCCCAGTTCTCCTTGACCAACTCTTACCCGTACCTCAACTTCCTGAATGCATTCTCGTTCATCTTTGCAATGCAAAGCTTCATCATCTTCTTCCGGATGTGCCGGGATATCCTCCGGCCCTTGCGCATCGTTCCTAAGTTTTTCAGTCTGCAGCTTGTGGTAATCCTGGCCAACTTGCAGAGTACGATATTTGCACTATTTGTTAAACAAGCTTTGCCAGCTTGTACAAACGGACTTTCTGCTAATGTCAAGGGTGAAGGTACGTTCATGATGTTTATTGTTATTGATTTCTTTATTAATTGTTTCTTTTTAAATTTAAGTACACTGTGTCTACATTTTTCATCATGGTAGTAGCGGGATCTTTTTCCTTTTCGTGGTTATTTTGTTCTCTGCAGCAACTACTGGGTAGCTTTAGTCTGACTTTTTTCGTTTCCTTTTCTTTTTTTTTCCTCAAACACATTTTTCACTCCGGTGCCTGCATTATTTCTCATAACGCTAAATTAACCAACTCTCCTTATCAATCCCAACCCCAGCTACAATGATGGGAAACGTAAGGAACAATAAAAAAACGCACCAAAAAAAAACAACGAAAACTAATACAACACAAGAAATGGATAATTCACAATAACCATAATTACTGATTTGTCTTGATTTATAATACTAATATGGCATTTACGGTACTTTTTCCACTTTCTTGAAAGGATAAGCAGCGTTTACGATATTTGAAAGTCGGGCTGAAGCTTTATTAATATTAACACACTTATCGTTGGAAAGCTGTGTAACTGTTCCAAGCCCAGAAAGCACAACTTTCCTGAAGAGATAAAACAACTAACAAATAAACACACACAAACAAACAAACAAATAAACATACAGACAAACCAACAAACAAACATACAAGCACACAAACACACAAACAAACAAGCAAACAAACAAACAAAACCGGTTTCATTCTTTATAGAATGGTACCAACATTGTGTATATTTTCATGATTTTTTCAACACACAGAATTTGAATTTCAACGAAATATTCCTTGAGCAAATGTAACTAATACCACAGATTAAGAAACTGGGGGAAAATGGGCTAAGTGCATTTAAACAGCAGGCCGACGTTATGCTTTTTTGGGTAATATATATATGGTATATATTCATCATACACATTTTTCTTAGTAGTTGTTCGCTACCTCAGAATTACAAAGTTCTATTTGACATTCTTGGTCGTTTTGAGTTACTGAGACCATGAGGTCAGAAACCAAGTGTTCTATCTTATCTATTAAAATCGTAAGAATATTCGGAGTCGTTATCAAGATATTCAAAGAATTGCATCCGAAAAATCTTGACATTTTGTGAAAAAAAAAAAATTAACGTCAAATATACAAAACTAGGTATTGAGGAGATTGAACGTTGTAAATCTGAGGTAGCGAGTTCTTTAACTGATAAATGCATATTATTGCATCCCTGTTCAAACGGAGGCCGAATTAGCTTAAGCCTACATCTGAAACGGTGCATACCTTGTTGCCACAGCATTAACAGTGTAAGTCAGGTCATTGAATTCTCTGTTAAGTTTTTATTTTATTTTAAAGATAAGCTTTCCTAACGAGCGAATTTAAAGTTCTAGATTCAAATCAATCGTGTGGGATTCGAACTGTTATCATCCTTCATGAAATAAACGTTTTTTCACTCCAGTTCAAAGCCCTGAATGGCGGGGCACTAAAAAGCACTCTACGATTAAAACGATCTGAATTGTATAAAAAAAGGGCCCTACGTTTGAACATTGAAATCAACGGTCGATGAAGGTTCTGCCATTTTGGACTGTTCGGATATGATTGAAACTCAACAACGCCCAGTCTCACCTTCTATCTCTCTCTCTCTCTTTCTCTCCCCCGTACCCAACAGCTTACTTTAACATGGTGTTGATAGTCGAGATGTTTGCCTTGTCCTTCATGGCAAGATGCGCTTACCGACGTTCCCATAGCAACATAGACGCCATTCTGAACACACAGGACGCGACTAAAGAAACAGAGACCTCCAAATACACCAAGAGCGACGACAACTCTAAACCCTTGATCAACGGTGTCTCAAAAGATCAATCATCTGCGGAGGGAACGCCGTCTACCACCCCAAAGAAATCGTAATGCACTGTGTCTCTTTGTCTTACTAATGTTATTTTTATTATTATATGCTACTGCTACTGCTACTACTACTACTACTACTGCTGCTGCTGCTGCTGCTACTACTGCTGCTACTACTACTGCTGCCACAACTACTGCTACTGCTACAATTGCTGTTGCTGCTGCTGCTACTGCTACTGCTACTGCTACTGCTACTGCTACTGCTACTGCTACTACTACTACTACTACTACTACTACTACTACTACTACTACTACTACTACTACTACTACTACTACTACTACTACTACAAATAATAATAATAATATAATAATAATATAATAATAATATTAAAGACAATGATAATAACAATAATATTGGTAATAATAATATTATTTGATGATATATGTATATTTAAGTATATTTCATGTTTCATAAAATGTTTGTGTTTAGATATATACATAAACACTAACAAACAAAGACACAAATACACAATGACATATAAACACACGCCAAAGTTTAGTAATGGCGGTTAACTGTTAAGAATAGGATTAGTGAGAGTTTTTGTTGTTGTTGTTGTTGTTGTTGTTGTTGTTGTTGTTGTTGTTGTTGTTGTAGAACAGACACTTAAATCTTTACTAAAGAAGGAATACATGTTCACTGATGGCTTTGATAGTTCTTTGTTTTTGCTTTTTTTTTTTGGTCTATCATCTCTTAACAACATCCCCCAACACTTGAAAAGGCAAAACAAAATAAAACAAAACGAACACTAAAAAGGAACCCCTTCCAAAACCAACAACCAAATTTAAAAAAAAAACAACGAAAGAAAGAAAAACACATTATACAACAAACCATCACTCAAGCGCAGAAAACTCTTTGACAACCACAACATACATTCCAAGAAACCAGAATAAAGAACGAATAAAACAACAATACTACATTAAGAAAACCCCCCAACAAAGTAAGACATAAACAACAACGGAACAACAACAATAATAATAACTACAAAAAGAACAGTAGCCTGACACGAAGGGCCAGAACACTTAAAAGATCCAGACTTTGTTAATATTTTTTTTTTAAAGAAAAAAAGGAATGTGAGAACGATAACGCTTGTGTGTTCTTTGGTATAAAAAAAGTCACAATACTACAATAACAAGTGGCCAGAGACACATCAACGGTATTAGGGATGTAGCGGTTAGGCGTATCGCCGGCGTACACAGAAGACCTGAGTTCAATTCCCGAATAGGGAGAATTCTTTTCGAGAATCTTGGTCTTTCTGCTTAGCCCTGACAGCCAGGATCGAAGCCCACACCATAAATAACCTAATGTGTGTCGATTGAGGCGTAAAACGACAACGTTTAGAAATTTTAGAAACCCTCACAGTATCTTTAACCTTCCCCAGGCACGACGTACGCAACTCTCACATTTTCATCGATCCGGGAGCTCTTTCCGAACTTCAAGAATCGTACGTATAATAGTCACCGTGGTGAAATCAGGCGCTCGTCAAAACAATGAAATCGAAGAAACCGACAATTTGCCACTCATTCCTCAACTTCTATCGGTTTTTTTTAGGGGGGGGGGGGTTAAGATATTTTACGTCCATTTAAAACATATTTCTGTGGGAATGTTTGCTGAAAAATGGTAACCAAAGGCACATCAAGGGTAAATTTTCAGTTTTCAAAGACTCTTGAGCATTGGAATTCACCAGACTTTGGGGGCCATTTTCTCGCTAGTCTTACCTCTGATACCAGACCCTCATGCCCACCTCTCTAATGGCAAATGTATATCTACTTCTAGTCAAGATAAATGCTTTTTTCACCGAAAGCAAGACATGTGAACAAACTCTAAGATGATACTTATAGCTCTACATATTATGCTCAAAGATTGACGAGCGTCCGATTCCACCGTGTCGTGTCACGATGCAAGCTATTTTTTATGTTTTCGTTCTGTTACAAGATTGATGGCTTGACCGCGCTCTCACCTCTGTGTTGGGGCGCTTTCCGCAACACGAAAAGAACACTCTGGTATTGTGGTAATGTTAACACTTTGAAGCCGTGGCGGACACATTATTATGTCCTATTGCCAGCAAGCCGAAAGGGCAATGTTTCGGTACCTATTGAGCCTTCGTACACAAACAGGAAACACAAGTTTACTTATGGGTACTCAGCTGTAGACAGCGAAAGATCTTGTCAGCTTGTTAGTGTTTGAGCCCTAATCAGCTGCTTGCACTGTATGCTTCCAGGAAGCTGAGAATGTTATTGAGTTTACCATTGTCTGCTGGGGTAATAATAATATCGTGCAAATCGCATAGAGCTTTCTGTAAAGCGGGGTTATGCGCTAAACAAATTTGAATGCTATTTATTATGATCATTATTTCGAAGTGTACGTGTTGTTCCATGTCTTTTTAAATTTCAGATAAAGAAAACGAAATCGAAAAATCTATTTGAATAATGAAATTATGCCCCCAAACAGCATATTTTCAAGCGTTGTCGAATTACTAGAATGCGTGTCCTAAATAACGTGCAGAAGGAAGACATGGGCGCTCCGTTAGCTCAGTTGGTATCATGTTGGACTAAGGAGCGGATGACACTGGCTCGAATCCCATACAAGGCGATCTTGAATTCGGGTCGTTTTGTGGAGTTTCCAAGGCTCTCTCTTTGTCTGTCTGTCTGTCTGTCTGTCTGTCTGTCTGTCTGTCTGTCTGTCTGTCTGTCTGTCTGTCTGTCCCAAACTCTCTCCCCCTGTCTGTCTCCCCCCTCCTTCTCTCTTAATCACACAC